TGTTCACATTCCTCCATGAGCCAGCTGTGCTGTTTAACCTCAAAGAGCGCTACGCAGCATGGATGATCTACGTGAGTTAGAGAGCCAGTTTACTTTTCATTATTAGTGAACTACCTTAGCTTCTGAAATCATTATCCTCTCTTGACATGGCAGACCTACTCCGGGCTGTTCTGTGTGACTGTCAACCCCTACAAGTGGCTGCCAGTCTACAACCAAGAGGTGGTTGTTGCCTACAGAGGAAAGAAGAGGAGTGAAGCTCCTCCTCACATCTTCTCCATCTCTGATAATGCCTACCAGTACATGCTGGCAGGTACATAAATCACTTTAGATCTTCATCTTCAAATTATTTTTGATGATGCTGTAATTTGTCTTTTGTTTATTATATATTCTTGATGACAGACAGGGAAAACCAGTCAATCCTTATCACGTAAGTTACTGTTAGCAAATCCCTTTTCAGCAGTCATAAATCATTGATCGTAGCCTAAAACCTTCTGTGTATCTTCTACTCAGCGGAGAATCTGGAGCTGGAAAGACTGTCAACACCAAGCGTGTCATTCAGTACTTTGCCAGCATTGCTGCTGTCCCCAGTGGAGGGAAGAAAGATGCTGCTGCTGAGAAGAAGGTTTGCTGTACCTTTGTTTCATACAATCACAGAACAAATACATTGTATTATATTGTAAATCCAGAATTACTTTATTCTTTAAGCTTCTTTAAACTTGTAAGCATGTCAGACATTGTGTCTTTGTTTAACATCAGGGCACCCTGGAGGATCAAATCATTCAGGCTAACCCTGCTCTGGAGGCCTTTGGTAATGCCAAGACCATCAGGAATGACAACTCCTCCAGATTTGTGAGTAACTGTGGACCTGCAAAAAAAGTTTCTTTATTATCAACAAAACAATGAAAAATGATATTTTTTTCCGTTAATGAAAACAAATGTTAATTCATCTATTTTTAGGGTAAATTCATCCGAATTCACTTTGACAACAGAGGAAAGCTGGCCTCTGCTGACATCGAGACTTGTAAGTAAAACTACATGCAACATCTGAGTAAGTTCTATTTTGTGCTGTGTTTGGTAGAGAGCTCTCTCCACAGTTTAAGAAGCAAGATTCATCACCAGTCAGCATTCCTGTTCATTGTGTGACTAGGCCTGTCGCAATAACCAATAAATCAATTAACCGCATGATAAATGAAAATTATCAAGCTCATTTACATTTATCAGCTTTATCGTTTCTTCGTGTCTCTCTTTCTACTGAAGACACTGGATGACAAAAGGCTCAACTCCATTGCTCTTCACTGACCCCTCCCTTTCTCTTTTCTCTTTAAAACCAGTTTTAACCATCCAAAATCGCAGTTTTGGATCGTTAAAAGCAGCTAAGCTGAGAAGCTAAGCTACGATCTAAGCTAACAGGCCGACCTCGGGGAAAAAACATCCGTCTTGTCAAAGCTCCAAAATTTACGGTTGAAACTGGAGACCCCATAGCACACCCATGTTTCTGCCTTTGCGGCTGCACCAAGTAGAATTCCTCTGGTGGAGATGATCACAGCCACAGAATCAGCCATCCGCAACAACAAAATGAAAGAGGGTGAAGCAGAACAGCTCAGAATCAAAGTTTCATCCTGCCTCAGCAATGCCAAACCACAGGGGGTCTCCAGTTTCTCCTATTGTTGCCAACCTGTACATGGAGGAGGTAGAAAAGAGAGCCTTGACGTCCTTTTCAGGGACACCACCAAGTCATTGGTTCAGGTATGTTGACGACACCTGGGTTAAAATTAAATCTCAGGAAGTCCAACATTTTACTGACCAAATCAACTCTGTGGATAAATACATCAAGTTCACACGAGAAGATGAAAAAAATGGCAAGTTGGCTTTCTTGGACTGTGAGGTCTCAGTCTCTGATAGAGGACATTTGCAAACCGAGGTGTACAAAAAACCCACCCACACAGACCAGTATTTGCAGTTTGACTCCCATCACCCTTTGGAGCACAAGTTAGGAGTCATCAGGACTCTGTATCACAGAGCAGACAGCGTCCCCACTAACTCAGGAGCCAGGCAGAAGGAGAAATCCTACACAAAACAGGCTCTAGAGCAATGTGGATATCCTAACTGGGCCTTCCTGAAAGCAGAGAAGAAACCCAAACAGGACTCCAGTCAGCCATCAGGTGAAAAGGAGGAACCCAGACCCAGACCAGTGGTCATTCCGTATGTTGAGGGAGTATCAGAGAAACTGAGACGTTTATTTTCTAAACATAACGTCCCAGTGGCTTTTAAACCCCAAAATACATTACGGCAAAGACTGGTTCATCCCAAAGATCCAGTCCCCCGGCACAAACAGAGTAATGTTGTGTATGCTGTTCAGTGTCAGGAGGGTGATCAGTCTTACATCGGGGAAACTAAACAGCCACTGGCCAAAAGGATGGCCCAGCACAGAAGATCAACATCATCAGGCCAGGACTCTGCGGTCTACACTCATCTCCAGGCCAGCGGTCACTCTTTCAGGGATGAAAATGTTCACATCCTGGACAGAGAGGAACGATGGTTTGAGAGAGGAGTAAAGGAGGCCATCTTTGTGAAAAGAAATCGTCCATCGTTAAACAGGGGTGGAGGCCTCCGGGTTCAACTGTCCCCCTCTTACAATGCTGTGATTGCTAGTATCACTCAGCCTCCTGTGAATAGTAAACAGCCATCAGTGTGCTAATGATCCATTGTTAGGCTGATGGTCCTTCTTGAGCATGTGATCAGCTGGTTTTGGTTGTCAGCAGCAAAACTGGTTGATCCACTCTGAGAAGGTGCTATTTAAGAGACTGAGCTGAATACAGCTCCTCAGACTGAGGAAGTCTCTTGGATGAGAGACGAAACGTTTCTATATTTTTTTGCTTTGTTTTGGTTTTTTTTGAATGTCCAGAGGACCAGACTGAACTTTTTTGGACTAATTACAAAATGTGAGGCCTTACAAGAAACTGCTAAATTGATTAGACTCATTTGTGCCAAATGTTGCTGTGGAGAACCTGTTTAAATATGTTTGATTTGTCTAGTCACATCAAATGTGATCACAAACCAACAAAAGATTATTTTGCACAGAAAGACACTAAGATATTTTGCATTGTACCTAAAACAGATCTTCTGGAAAAATCACGTGTGACCTACCAGCTCAAAGCTGAGAGGGACTACCACATTTTCTACCAGATCTTGTCTCAAGTAAAGCCTGAACTACTGGGTAAGTGAATGAGTCAAAAAAAGAAACAACTTTTTTATTAAAAACCTCAGACATTGTGTAACCAATATTTTATCTAATTCTAGAGATGCTGCTCATCACCAACAACCCCTACGACTACGCCTTCATCTCCCAAGGAGAGACAACAGTAGCCTCCATTAATGACTCTGAAGAACTGATGGCCACTGATGTGAGTTACATCTTGAAATCAAAACTAACAAACGATGTTCAGTCAACCATATTCTGAAGCTAAACAAAAATGAAAGGAGCATTGACTGATTTCACTTAGGATGCCTTTGATGTGCTGGGCTTCATTCAAGAAGAGAAGAACAGTATTTACAAAATGACTGGTGCCATTATGCACTTTGGTAACATGAAGTTTAAGCAGAAGCAGCGAGAGGAGCAGGCAGAGGCTGATGGAACTGAAGGTAAGAGAAGATGTTCCATGTATGCTGTTACTACTGTTAGTAGTAGATGCTTAGGATTAGGAATTACCTTATGTAATCCATTACAGTACTATGAACAGGTAAGTTTGAGACTCTTATTATTAAATTACAGTTAAATTGCAAGCACAACAATGGATACAGTAAACAAGTGGGTCCAGTTTAAGTAGAAACAACATTAAAATTTGTTTTAGATATTGCAGTACTGGAATTACAGAGAAAGTAAGTTTTTTATAACCTTTAAATAAATTGTTGAAGATCTGGCTTTTAAAATGCATTTGTTAAAAAGAAACAATAGAATCAAATTTAAATAAATGAGCTGGACACTGTAAGGCTCAATGTAACTGTGTCATCTATATTCATTTGTACTTCGACAGCAAGAAAGTAATTGACGACTAAATATGGTGATTTTAAAACAGTCTAAAGAGTAAATTTATAGGGTCTGGTAAAGTTGAAACTCTCATTCCAGTTCTCTACAGGTTTCTCTTGTAAATCAGTCCTTGATGCTCAATGAGATTAATCTATATAAATAAAGGTTGAATGAATTGTACACTATAAGCAAGAATCTACTTCAGATTCTAAAACTTGTTTTGCTTTATGCCTTTTTCATTAATTTTGCACTTTGTATTTATTTTCTGTTTATATTTTTTGGTAACTAGCAACAATGCTTTCTTATGTTTTGCACAGACCTTACCTGCATTACATTAAGTACCTGTGTCTTTGTGTACATATATTTTCTTACTTAGATGCTGACAAAGTTGCTTATCTGATGGGCCTGAACTCTGCCGACCTCATCAAAGGTCTCTGTCACCCAAGAGTCAAAGTAGGAAATGAATGGGTCACCAAGGGACAAAATGTTGCCCAGGTAATGCCAGGCAGAATGATGTGAGTACTTTAGTATATTATAGTGTATGAAGCTAAATTTTAACGATGTTGCTAATTATTTCCTTGGTAAGGTGTACTATGCTGTTGGTGCACTGTCTAAGGCAGTGTATGAGAAGATGTTTCTGTGGATGGTGGTGAGGATCAATCAGTCCCTGGACACCAAGCAGCCACGCCAGTACTTCATTGGTGTGCTGGACATTGCTGGATTTGAGATCTTTGATGTGAGCATCA